TCTCCCCCCAATTTCCCCTCAACCTCCCCTCCACCTCCCCCCCACCTCCCCCCCACCTCCCTGGTTACTCTCCTTACTGCGCTTTTCTCTGCTACTTTCATTCGTTTTGGCCCGCACCTCGTGCAACAAATCTGCGGTATCCCCATGGGGATATCCCCGGCCCCGTATATTGCTAATCTCTTCCTCGCTTGGCACGAATATAAGTTCTTACAGCAATTTTACTCCTCTACTACCTCTTCCCTTAATAAACTTATACTTAAATCTTTTCAGTTCACTAAACGGTACCTCGATGACCTCCTCTCCCTGGGAAACCCACATCTTGCTTCCTTCCTTTTTCACCTACCCGAATCAGTGGGAACCAACTCCTTGCGAGGTATTTACCCCCATCAGCTTGAAATTCCAGTTCAGCAACACCCCCTTAATAAAACACCTTTCTTAGATATCCTTTTAGTCCATTCCGTTCGTAACGGCTGTAGTTGGTATGATACACATCTTTATGATAAGCTACAGCAATCAGCTTTTTCAGATATTCGCCTTTCGCGCTTTGTGCATTCATCCTCGTCCGTTAATGAAGCAGCTAAACGAAATATTTTCATCAGCCAATTCCGTAGACTACAGCGTATTATCACGGACGCTCACAATTTTGCGTCTTCCGTAGCACACCTCATGGCACAACTCATTGCTCAAGGTTACCCGCGACGACGCCTTGAGATACAATGTGCTCAACAACTCTTTTACTGGCCGCAACTCTTCTTAGTTCAACGCCGTAATGGTACGATATCCTAGCTCACATCCTTCGCCTGCTTCATACCCTACTTCCTTATTCTCCTTCCCCTCTACCCTGCCCTTAGTTCTTTTTCCCTGCCCCTCTTACGTTTACTCTTTTTAGGCACCACGGAGCTGCATGCAAACGCTCCTGGTGCGCACGGTTTGGCGGGAGCCATATGTGGCCCCTACCCTCGCACTGTTCTTTGTTTTTTGTTTGTTTGTTTGTTTTTTGTTTTTTTGTTTTTTGTTTTTTGTTTCTTATTATTACTCCCCGTTTTTGCTTTCACCCTGTTTCGCCTTTTGTTCATTGCCTCATCATTCCCTCATCCGGTACGACACTTCCCTTTGTGTTTCCTTCCTTAAGCGTTTCCTTTTCCTTTCTTTTTCCTTTTTAGTCAAAATTTAAAATCAGCCAGCCAGCTACTAGTATTCCTCAGCAGCATTTGCATGTCCCCCTGTCCTTTATCGCACCCGCCTCACCTCCTTGTTACCCTTCTGTTTTTGCATGTGCTTTTTGCCACTACTTCGGCGGCCTGGCCAGGTGAGTCCATAAGGTGGTTCGAGCTTCTTTGGTATTTCGCGTTGGCGTCGCTAGGCTAGCCGGAATAGTTTAGTTTGGGTCGGTCGGGTCAGTCGCGCGTGCTAGTTTTTTGGGGGGTTGGGAGGAGCACTTGCATACCGGCAGCCTTTCAGTATCAGCAATACAGCTTTCTCTCCTGGCCAGCAACTTTACGCCACTTTTACGTCAGCACTTTCTTTTCTCGCCGCCTTCACTACTTTTTCTACACCTACTAGTTTACGTTTTGGCTAAAATATTTCTGGCGGCTTAGGTAGGTAGGATTTCCAAACTTCTACGCCAATTCTTCATCCCGAGGTTACAGTCGTCATCCCGAGGTTACAGTCGCCACAGTCGCCACGGACGCCTTTCGGTCAGTTCTTTCGGTTGCTACTATCTTGCTCTGGCAGCAGCTTAAATCGCGTGTGGTTCGTCTTTCCCCCACCTCCCCCCCACCTCCCCCCCACCTCCCCCTCCCCCTCACCTCACCGCCCCCCCAGGCTCGCAAGCTGCTGAGGGACACCTGTCTCACCCTCATAAGGGACTGGGAGGAGAAGCAACACAAGCCGACGAAGACGGAGACGAAAACGGAGGCGGAGGCGGAGGTGCGAAATGGACATGCAGCGACACGGGAGACCGGGCCCACGGCCGAAGAACCTGCGTCAACGTCGCCTTCGTACGACAATGGCGGCGAGGGCGGCGGCGGCGGTGATGTCGTCAGGAGGGCCCCCGCCGTAGCGCCCGGCAGCTTCCTGGGCCTTATGTTGTCCGCCCGCGATAAGCTCACCGGGGATGCGCTCTCTGACGACCAGGTGGTGTCCCAGGTGCGCTTCGGAGAGGGGGGCCGAGGGGCGCCGAGGGGCGCCGAGGGGGGCCGAGGGGTGTGTGTGTGAAGAAACATGAGGAGGGGATTAGAAGGGAAGGGTAGGGATGTGCGTGTCCACCAGCCCGGCAGTGTGTGTTGTGTGTGTGTGTGTGTTCGGGGTTCGGTTCCACTTTCGTTTTCTGCTGTGTTTTTATTACGGGGGGTTTTGGGGGACGGTTAGAACATGGTGTGTTTTTGTCAGCCCCCCGGCCGTGTGTGTGTGTGTGTGTGTGTGTGTGTGTGTGTGTGTCTGGCGGGGGGTCACATCAGGTTGGGTTTGTAAGGAGTGCGCCGGGATTGGCACTTGCTAGGCACTTGGTCGCCTCGCCATATCCATTGGTTCGGAGCCACCGGGGTACACAAACCCGCGCTATCCCCCCCCACCCCTCCGCGGGCCTCTCCCCCATTCGCACCGGGCCCCACCTCATCTCACCTCTCAATATCTCAGGCCCAGACCTTCATCTTGGCTGGCTACGAAACTACCGCCAACTCCCTCACCTTCGCCGTGTACAACATCGCCACACACCCGGAAGGTTGTAAGGCATCAGGGTGGCGGAGGGGAGACAGGGAGGGAAGGTTGCAGTGGTGGTGCCCCCTCCCCCCGGGGGGCGTGTTAACCGCCCTCTGTATACGACCTGTGGAACTGTCTCCCTCCGTTGACTGCTGCAGCCCCCCCTCCGCACCCCAACCTCAACCTCGACGTCAACCCGTCTTTCAGTTAGCAGGTTGGCTCCTCCTCGTGTTATTGTAGAGCAGAGGCACTGGCACCCTCTCCTACATTGCTGCTCCTCTCCCCATTGTGCTCCTCTCACCGAAATCTGTGCCCTTCGAAACACACACGCGGTCTCCTCCCCACCCCCCGCTTCACTCCCGGTGTGCTCCTACCCCCCGTAAATTCAACAGTGGAGCGGAGGCTGTTGGCGGAGATGGACGAGGTATTGGGACCTGACAGGTATTGGGACCTGACAGGTATTGGGACCTGACAGGTATTGGGACCTGACAGGTATTGGGACCTGACAGGTATTGGGACCTGACAGGTATTGGGACCTGACAGGTATTGGGACCTGACAGGTATTGGGACCTGACAGGTATTGGGACCTGACAGGTATTGGGACCTGACAGGTATTGGGACCTGACAGGTATTGGGACCTGACAGGTATTGGGACCTGACAGGTATTGGGACCTGACAGGTATTGGGACCTGACAGGTATTGGGACCTGACAGGTATTGGGACCTGACAGGTATTGGGACCTGACAGGTATTGGGACCTGACAGGTATTGGGACCTGACAGGTATTGGGACCTGACAGGTATTGGGACCTGACAGGTATTGGGACCTGACAGGTATTGGGACCTGACAGGTATTGGGACCTGACAGGTATTGGGACCTGACAGGTATTGGGACCTGACAGGTATTGGGACCTGACAGGTATTGGGACCTGACAGGTATTGGGACCTGACAGGTATTGGGACCTGACAGGTATTGGGACCTGACAGGTATTGGGACCTGACAGGTATTGGGACCTGACAGGTATTGGGACCTGACAGGTATTGGGACCTGACAGGTATTGGGACCTGACAGGTATTGGGACCTGACAGGTATTGGGACCTGACAGGTATTGGGACCTGACAGGTATTGGGACCTGACAGGTATTGGGACCTGACAGGTATTGGGACCTGACAGGTATTGGGACCTGACAGGTATTGGGACCTGACAGGTATTGGGACCTGACATTCACAGACACCTCACTCGTACGGCAGGTGTACGGCATACGCATGTGCTCGCGCGTTTCATGTGCGGTGGTCATACCTACCTGTAATCCAGTTCGTCGCCGTACTAGGCGAGCGAAGCACGACAGATGGAATTTTGGATTTAGTAATCCACCTGGCTATCCGCGCGAGTCACCAGTAAACCATGTGTAATCCCAGTATAACCCCATTCGCTCACGTAATCCTGTCAATAGATAGGCAATCGCGCTGTAATCCAGCATAACTCCCAACACAGTGGCAGGTAGTGATAATCGTCCATAAGCCGGGATGGTTCTCGGATTAAAGCACAATGTTTGTATGGCGGCGGCGAACAAGAGTATAATCCGGATTAAAGCACAATGTTTGTATGGCGGCGGCGAACAGGAGTATAATCTGGTGGTTAAAGAGGGTTACTTATCCCGGAGGCTTACAGTTTGGTAGGGCTCTAAACAATCTGCCTGCCTACCTAGTGAAATGCATGTGCGGCTGTACGGCTATTGGTATCACCTCTCACCCATGTGCGCCAGAGCCCCCACGGATGCTGACCTGTCCCGGATGCCGTACACTGAGGCGGTACTTCACGAGACCATGCGGCTGTACCCGGCAGCACATGCCATCACCCGCGAGGTGACCAACACGCCCACCCAGGTGAGGGGGAGGGGTCGCGTGTGTGTGTGTATGTCTCTGTGTGTATGTGTGTGTATGCGTGTACGTGTACGCGTGTGTCTGCGTACGCCCCCTTAATGCGCCAAATGTCCAGCATAGCAGTCAGAATTTTGTTTAAAGGAATGAGGGGCGGCCCTATGTGGCACACAGGTAACAGTAAGAAAACTGGCGGATGCAGGGATTAGGATAGCTACTGCTTATAATACCAAACCCTAATGCCAAGCATTGTGGCACACTACATTGTTAACGTGTTCCTGAACCCTAACGTCTTCATACCTACCTGCCGTACATCACTCTGCATCAGGCCTGTCCCGCTCTGGCTACGTGGTGACGCAGGTTGGCGGCTACACCATACCCGCCGACACACATGTCATCCTGGGGATTTACACGGCTCATCATGACGAGCGGTTCTGGCCCCGTGCCGAGGAATTCATTCCGGAGCGTTTCATGCCGGTGGGTTTGGGGTTTTGAGCTGTATATCTATAGTTAGATGGACCGTTATGCCGTAGAAGGGCCCCTTAGCTCAGCTGGTTAGAGCGTGGTGCTAATAAACTTGGGCACGCCAAGGTCATCGGTTCGATCCCGATAGGGGCCATAAATTTGTGGAAACTTTTGCTGGAACACGAGAAGTTGCGACAATTAAAGCTGCCTGGGCGGTGCTCATGATTATGACCACGCGGTGTGGCAGCTCCAGGTGCAGCAAAAGTTGTGCAATGGACTCGCAGCCGTTCTTCACCCTGACCACCAGCCAGCGCCGACAGCCGGATGGCTGGTTAGCAAGGAAGCGGGTTGGCTCACATCACAGACAAGTATTAACAAGCAATGCTAGCAGGTGCATGGCGCTGGGCTGACAGGTCTACGGCAAAACACACGCAACCGGGACACTGCTGGGCCCTCCCTCCCTCGAGCACCTGCCCCAGAATGCCAAAGCGTAAGACTTGCTGGAATGGGCTATGGAATCGAGCACAAAGAATATATAAAAATATCCGGAGATCATATGCCGCAATCCTTACAAACAAGCATGCAGCTACCAAGTCAGCAGCCAGCCACCGCTTGACCCAGCCCCGCCAACCAGCCTTAACACCCCCTTTCTTTCACCACCACCCCACCCCCCCCCCCTCTCCCCCCTCTCTCCCCCCCTTTCAGGACTCCCCTCTCTACCCGGAGGTGTGTCCCCGGGCGCCTCACGCGCACGCACCATTCGGACACGGCAGCCGCATGTGCATCGGGTGGCGGTTTGCCATGCAGGTGGGCGGCTTGGCAGCTGGGTAGGATCGTTGTGGGGATGTGGGGATGGCCGAGTCGACAGCTTGTCAACCGCAATCCGGGCACCCATACTGCATCTCGGACTGCAAGCGCCCAACCCAACCGGCCGGACATGCTACCGAGGCCGGGTGGTCTCTCTGCTGTTTTACTAAGCATCATCTGTGCGCGTATGTGTACGGCATTGCGGTGATGTGGGTGATGAACATCCTGCTGCGGTCTACACCGTCCCATCACCACCTAGGTGACTAGACCTACCGGGTTATATGTTCCGCCTTCACCGCCGCCGGCCCCCCTCCCCTCTCCCTCCCCCTCTCTATACACATCCCGTACTGCCCCCTCCTCCCCCCCCTCCCTCAGGAAGCCAAGGTGGCATTGGCGATGTTGTATCAGAGACTCAGGTTCGAACTGGAGCCCGGACAAGTGCCGCTGGAGACTGTCTCGGCCTTGACGTTGGCGCCCAAGGACGGGTTGTGGGTACGGCCTGTACCGCGTAAGCAATTGTAGTGAGGTGCAGGAGGAGATGGCGGCCTCCACAGGGCGGCTCCTGCACCAGAAATCAGCTGCCGCTGCGCAGCACCGCACGTCGTACCTGGATGACGCAAGCAGCTGCTGCCGTACAAGTACAGAACTTCATAAAAGGAATATGCATTCTGGGCGAATGAATCATGAGCCGTGAGTCGGCCCCTGCGTTGCGGCTAGTGGGCACGAGAGTGGAAATCGGGATGGTTGCCGTGCAGCTTATTGCTGTGTACGCCATCGCGAGCTCTGCTGCAGCTGTCGGGGGAGTTGCTGCGACACATACTGTCGTCCTTTGTGAGCAATTTCCGCGTCTACCGCCCCGGGCACGACTTTGTACACCTCTAAAAGAAGTTGCAAGGAAAAGCTGCGTCATGTTTTGAAGTTGGGAAAGCAGAATCAGAAAGTTGCGTAGGAGTAGATAGCAGCGCGGCGTCCGCCAAGAACTTCGCCGCCGCGGGTATGGGCGCTACTGATATGCTGATGTGCCCTCTTGAGGGTGTTCGTTGCTTGCGTAGTGCGTCCCGTTCAAAACCGTTCTGACACAGGAGTGCACTGTACAAAACAGGATAATTGAGTTTGTGATGGATTGGGGGAGGGAGAGATTGTGTACCTGTTAACCGCTGTGCGGGATATAGCCAGCACAGATCAGGTATGTTACATAAAATTCGTTTTCGACAGAGTCAGAGGTAAGGGGCGGCATGGAACGACATGGAACATAAACGAACGCAGGGCCAAGGAGTACGGATGGTGGAAAGGATGACGTCAGTTGTGGACGGGGTTGTGAGTACGCGGCCATTGGAACTGTCAGGAAACGTAATTGTGATGTTCGCAGAATATAAATCCACCTGTACACTATCTCCTGGCAATCCCGGTAACCGATGTTCGTCAGGAAGCCGTTGGGGACCGTTGCTGCGAGCAGGAGGCATCGTAGCACTGGGTGACGTGACAACGCGGGAGCAGAAACGTCCTGGTAGGTTGGTGGTCAAGGAATTTGCACGCTTGCCAAATTCCCCAGAATGCAGGTGGACTAATCGGGTGGTGAGTAGATACTGCCGAAGAACGCTTCTTATTCTAGCGATATGTTAGCCATCAATTTGTATGTAATGGCGATATGCAAGCGCAACCAACACACGTCACCAATACTTATACTTTCACCAAGACAGCGGCAAGGATAGAAAGAGCAGAACTGCTAGAAGTAGCTGGTACTCAGTATCCATCGCGACCATTTAGAAAGGAAGACCGCTCTTCGTGAGGCTGGAGCCTACTGTAACAACCACGCATACAAGAATGAGAACGGTAAATTACCCGAATAGGTGCACCGTGAATGGTTTGGAGTGGGTGGGGGGAGGTAAAACGAGGTGGCGGCCGTGACATGAACCAAGTTTGTTGGGTGCTGCTACAGCTAATCCAGAGGTCATAGAATGTAATAGAATGGAAGTACGACGCGTGTGCCTCAATATAAGATGGCCAAAACACACTGACGAATTCAGTGCGGCCCCATCTTACCACTGCCCAAGTGCATCCAATCTGTGCGCGGAGGCACAAGTGAGGTTAGCAGGTGAGGTTAGCAGCGTCTTTTGCCGGACAGTAGTACGGCGGATGCTCCGTGAATCAGGTTGCAGGCGGTACTTCCTGGATACGTGGAGGTGGTGGGGGAGGACACTGACTGCGCCGCGGGCACATGACGGTTAACGGTGACGTCGTGCTACCGCTGTTGGAGAGGACGACACCTGGGATGCAGAGGTTGTCAGCGTTGCCGAAATGCAGGCCATGCACGTTTCGTTCAAGCATTGTAGGAACGCTGCGCACTGCACTGTGTGCCACAAACACACGAAGCTGGGCTGTTTGGGTTTTGCAATGTATGTTCAAGGAGAAAGGATAGCGTATTTTTGGTTGCTTTATTTCCTTAAAATAGAGCCGACTGCTCACCACTAGGAAAAGCAGTAGCTCGCCAACGCATAGCGCCTTGCCGATGACTAGGACATCGAGCGATGCGAGCTTTAAAAGCATCGTGAAAACAGATTGCCAGGCCAAAGAGCATTATGACCATGCACTTGTACAACCTATTTATTTCCTTGCGAGCTGGCTAACCGTTGGTCTCGGAGATGACTCCTCGGTCGCCATCACGTCTCTCTCCACATTATCTCGGTTTCAATGCTGTCCAAAACGGTACAGGTTTTACATCTAGGTTTGCTGAAGTTGCAGTAGTGCGCACATAAAGTTATTTGTGCACTCTGGACCCTAGATCCCGTCAATTCTTTCCTTAATATGTTGTTACGCATTACACACACTCCCATACATAAGTGCAAATGTGTATTTAGTCTTGGCAAGCTTTTCTCAAGCCCCTCGGGGCATCTTGCGGAACCTTAAGCAACATTACAATCATGGCAGCATCGGCAATCGAAAAGCAACCATCAGGCCTTATCACGTTGCTAACAGAGGATGGAAGCGAATTGCTTGTCGACAAGGAGCTCCTCTGTTCCAGGTATGTACACGAGCAAACGCCAGCGAGCAAACGCTTTGCCATACCTGAATGCATGCATAGCCTTTTACCTAAGTTATGCTATGATGTCTCAATAAGGAGAGCCTAGTCCACCTCTGGGTGAAAACCGGAATCCGGCCGGCCCACGGGCATTCGCTGTGTCCCCTACACCACCCCAGTTCCAAGTTCTTTGCCGGCATGCTGACAACCTGCGACACGACACGTTTGCATGTAAGGTTTACCTAAATATGTCTTGAGAGTCTTTTTATGACAGCGATCCGTAATGTGTCGGTCCTGTAGTACAGAACGTAAGGTATGTGCGCCCCGCAAACCCCTGCCAAGGTTGGCCACAGCCCTACAGAACGTTCTCATAATTAAACCAACGCTGCGACGAAATCTTCGTCACTTAAAACAATTATACCTGACAGGGCCCAGTTCACCTCCAGCATATGCCCCGAAGCCTAATGTTCTGCTTCTGCCAGCCCGAGAATCTGAACCGTCCTGGTAGATACTTGTTTACAGCACTGAGCACACGACAGATTTACCCAGTGCCATCTATTGCCCATGCGGCTGTGGTTGATCTGTGCCGGTGCCCGGTGGTTTCGGTCGGGCGCGGGGGCTCACAGGTGGAGGAGAATAGAGAGGTGATGGAGTCGGTGCTGACCGTCATGCGCGGCTCTCCGCCTGCGAATACTTTTGACACCCGCTCCACAGCCTGCTGGGCCATCTTTAAAAAGGTGCAGTGCGCTTATTGCGATACGATGAAGGACCTCCGTGCATAGGCCCAGTCTATGCGCATGTCCACCGAAATCAGTCACGGTCGTACACTACCCACTGTCGTACGCCGTGCGCTACTCCACTGCTGCCATACATGTATGCTGTTGTGATGTTGGCTGATGGCTCGTTATTGTGGCTATCCTGTGTTACTCGGGACGGTCCGGGCTGGCCTCGCAACGCAACGCAACCCCCTCCTCCTCCGCCTCCCACCTTCCCGCGCCGCCACAGATTCTGGTTGTAGCTGACAAGTACGACATGAGCCTTGTGAAGGAGCGTTGCGAGAAGTGGCTGGTTTCTAGGTGGGTGAGAGGCGGGGAGGTGGGGCTGGGGCTGGTCACTAGTGCGCTGAGCAGCCAATGATGCAATGACGACCCCCCCCACGGGGCTCGTGGGGTCCAGGTCCGATTCGTTCTGTGGTCTCCAGAAGGTATTGCGGCGTATCCAGCCAGACGCCGGACGCTGCCCAGGAGCAGATAAACAGGAGGGAGCCCTGAAGGAAAGGACCGTGTGAGGGAGCACCCTCCTAAACATGGAAGGGTCGCGTGATGTGTGGAGGTGCGGCTGTATGTCAGTCCTCCTGGCCCATTGGCTTTACCGGTTACCCAGGAGCGCGGGGGCCAGGTAACTGCCGCGGCATGCAGTGCCACTAGCAGGACAACAACAGTGGAAATGGACATGTTTCTCTTCGCAGGAAAAGAAGGAGACTAGGGAGGACCACCTCCTGGGGGGAGCCAGGGGATGGCCAAGGGGGGGGGTACTGGCGATGACTCCTTTGCGTTACACTGCTGGGTTTCGGTGCGGAGCATGTATCACCTGCACACGCAAGCAGCTATGGACTGGCGGCTGCCGCGGCTGCTGCTGCGCTGACCTAATCTGTTATTGCTATTGTTGCCACTGGCTGATATAGCAGTAGGTAAACTAGGGGACGCGCAACGACGGAAAGGGGAATGCGATGTTTTCCATGCGATGTTTTCCACTTGGTCCCCACTTGGTCTGACCGTGTGTCTGTCTGTAAGGTGTCTTCGAGGTCGCATGCGGTCGCAATCGTTCAAGTTCCAGGACGTGGGCGAGGGCTTTGAGTGGCTAGCCATCTGCCAGAAATTCGATCTGAAAGACCTAGGGTAAGCAACGTATCACTGCTGTGCGCGTGTGCGATACGGGGCAGCCCGGTTCAGCGCAAGCCGGGGAGCTGCGGCACCAGATTGCGTCCCCGGGCGAAACGAAGTGGTCACCCAAGCAGTTTGTGTGTGCATAGCAAGTCGTATAGCGGCCGCGGCCTGCACGAGATCAGATGTGGGACTCAACCGGATATGGTTGGCAACGACAAGGAAATTTGGTGGAAGTGCATGGGTTGTTTGTCGGGTCTAAACGATGTGGGGCTCGAGTGTAGATGAGTGTGGCTTGGCGGCTGCAACTTGGCAGAGGGGGTGCCAAGGCATTTCTATGCCGAGTTCGCTTGCTTGGATTCCATACCCCATCACGTACACGTCACATCCGATTGGTGTATAGCCAAAGATTGATTATAGACCTTAAGATGAAGCGGCTTACAGTCCCGGAGAGCTCTTATTTCGTGTTCTTGCGTTCCAGACATCCAGACTTTCCCCCAGCCACTTATATCGCCTCTTTCTTCCTTTGGTGCCACGCAGCTGGTACTGCGCCTACGACCTGGGCACACAATTGGCCCAGGGTGCTTGGTCGCGTCCGCTTCACGAGTGCCTGGAGGGCGTGACGTGTGCGGATATGCTTAAAACGATCCTGGAAGCCGTACAGGCTGCTGTACTCTGTAGCGGGCCGCTGGGAGGTGTCAGCTCCGGTGCTACGATGGGTGCCGATCCGGGCATGCCTGGCCTCGGACCGGAATAGCGAGGCGAGGAGGACGAAGGTGGTGTCGGTGTTCTTTGGACGTTTTGTGCTTCATTGGCATGTCTCGCGGCCAGTGCATAGGTGGTGGAGCGATGCAGCGTGAACGTGTCGCAATTTGAGAGAGATGGGTTGACAAGTTCCTCCAGGTTGACGGGCCAGTGCGGGAAGTCTGACCTGGAGCTTCGCACAGTTGCACTTTGGGAAATGCCTGGCTCCATGACAGGTGGTGTTACTGCGGTCTCGCAGCTGTCGCAGTGAACGCCAGATGAGCTCTGAAGTGTAAGACACGCTTAAGGGCAGGTGAAGTATTTTGGATTCAACGGCGCTTACACGGTACTCAGATGTTGCGGCGTTACTTCACATGCAACATTCCAACATAGTGGGCTAGTTGCGCTTCCTTGACTGGGAAGCCCTTAGAAGAGTTCGATATTCGCCTGTAAACTTGGACGCCGACTTAAACCCCTGGCTATTAACTTTAATGACATGAGCAGGCAGCTGGGCCAGCAGCTTGCGGCACTCCATGCAATCATTTGGATCGCCTCCCCTAACAGCCACCCTCGTACCCCTGGCAGAAGAAAGCGAGCCAGCCAGGCGAACTTCACATCCCTCGCGCCATCCCCGGACTGGTCCAGCGGGCGGCTAAAAATCTCTTCCATGCCCCAAACCAGCGCAATATACTATCAAAGGCGCAGGACTCCAAGCGCTGCCGTGATGCCGCCCGCTGCACCAGGGTTACCCACTCCTAGCCCAGCTGACTCAGAGGAACATAGCCGCAAAGCCGCGGCTGAGCCCCTTGCGGCGCTCGTACGCCGAAGCAGCAGTCACCTTAGCACCCGTGTCCTGCTTCAGGCTTTCGTACGCAGAGTGAGCAGCGGCCTTGGTCTCACCACCCTCCTCAGCAAAGATGTTCTCCGCCTCGCCAGCCTCGATAGCGCCTGTCCAAGGGGTCGAGGTAGTACACTTGCAGTACAAGACGCTAGAGATGACCGAGAAGAAAGTTGCGTTGGCAGTGGCTTTGCAGGCGAGATCCAGCTTGGGGGACGGCCGTGTGTGACCGGGCTGGAGAAGCACCGGCAGCGGGAGGAGGATGTGCCTAGCACATCCTTCTACCACACACATGCTCACACAAAACACGAACGAAGGGGGATTATGCAAATAGTTGGAGCCCACAGCACATCTCCTCACCACCATAAAGCAGCATCGTTCCCACCCCAGCGCCGATGACGCCACCAACAAGAACGGGCAGCAGAGCAGCACCCACAGCAACGCCCTCGGGACTCATTTTCTGTTCAGCGCCTGCAGTGTGCAGCCATCAGCCTTTTTACTGGAGAGACAATGAAAGCAAGCCAAGCGTACGCGCACATCAGATCATAAAAAGTTTTGACGTAACAATTGCGCTATGCGCAGTCGCGAAAGCCAGCTTGCATATCACAAAGAGCCGGGAGAGGGTCGTTCCCGCTGCAGCCGCTAACTTTTCAAACCCCGAAGCGACATCCAAGATTATGTAATATGCATAATCTTCCGATAGAATAGCTTTCGGATGTACCGGAGCTTCACCACTCACCTCAACTTGGATTCACTTGGCGCGTGAGGCTGCAGCCGGATCAAAGCCGCACGCCTTAATGACTGACCACTTAAGCATAAGCTGCTAAATGGCTTCACGTCATACAACGAAAGAGGTAGTTAAACACTGTCGTAACAGCGTCGTGCAATTCTACACTCTTAGCTAGGGACTGGAATTAACTATCACCTCCGTTAATGGTGATGTAGGATTTACTGCGGAGGGTTACATCAGCTGCACTTATTCGCATGTCTATGTCAGTGGCAGAGGGAGAGTTCCAAAGCTACAGGGCTCTCCTTTCCAAAAGCACCATTGTTCTTAGCAAATCCCGTCCATATCTGCGTATCAACCAAGTATCCATGTTGGGATCACCGCAACCGTCGCCATACCGGTAATGTGTGTGTTTTTTATAAGGCGATGCTGTTGGCAATTGGCCATTTGGGTTGAAAATATACGACGAGCTGTAAACTGGTGAAGAATCGCTGCCGGCATGAGGTCCTCAGCACAATTTCTTAACCGCGTTCGAGCCATTTGTTGATTTCGTCGAGCTGTAGGCGGCTCAGAAGTGCATTCTTCGTGTCTAGAAGAGCTTATACCTCGCTGCAAATCGCGTGGCCTTATTCGACAGGGAGAGGAGAGCGCGTTAGGATGCAAATATTACAAGGGGGACAGGGAACCAACCCGCATCACTAGCCGTACATGCTAGCAGTTGGCTTTTAACCAACCTACCCCAGGGCACGTACCCCCAGCAAAACACAGGGAGTCGTGTATTTGCAAGTACCAAAATGTCCACAAATTCCCATGTCTTTATTAAAAGAGTGGGCATAGCGTACATCCGGACCCTGGGACAGGGTGCACGGACGAAAGAGGGAGCCAATCCCCGTCGCTAGCCGAACACGCACACGGACTCCCTGCGGAAGCCGGGCAGGTGCAGGTACCCGAGGGCCGCCTATTCCAAATCTACAGCAAGACTACCGCCATCGACTAAGGCAGGGGCCCACCCAGGGAGCCCTCAGCTGGAACATAGTACCGCAGCAACCTACGAACCAGAGCCACCGTCCAATTCCACACCGTAGCCACCAGCAGTTACCACCAATTGCCTGTAATACAGTCCGAATAGTGCACGTCGCGCACGAAGAGTCAACACAACCTAGTACAGCAGCGACCGCGTCGTACACCGTCATGCAGGCGGTTCCCAAAAGACAACAGAACCCGACACACACGCCAGGAGCGGGTGATCAGCGGGGACAGTTTCCCAGTTCCATGGGGGAGCGACGCAAACGACACAATACGCGGCCAGAAATCAGCCTCCACTTTAGAAGCAACGCCCACCAGCTTAGCGCGAAGGAGGGCAGTGCGAGAATCCCACTCACGGCACATGTGTTGACGACCATGTTCCAACCGGGGCCGCCCGAGCCGCCAAAGCAACTACATCCCACACCAGCGAGTGCAGACCCCCGGGGGACTCACGATGGGCCATAGGTGATGGCGACGGGACGGCATGCCTGTAACGTCAGTCCTCGTTCCGGCAACCTCACCCACGGCTTCTCTAAGCGGCTGCGCAACAAAGCAGTCCCAGAACAGGTGGTGCCGCACCCGGCAGGACCCCTACCTGGTAACCGCCGCCCGATAAGGGCATCGTATGATGGGGGGGCATGGCCCGCAATGCCATGGACAGTGAGTCTCTAGAAGGCCTTCTGTGGCTATTCTCCCACCGCAACCGCCATAGATGCCGGAGGGTAGAGTGAAGCCGTGCCAGAGGATCCGGCGGAGCTGGTAGGTCACCATACGCATCGGCGACGAAGGTTGTGTGTTGCTTTTCCGTGAGGTGGCGGAGATCAGGCGCGAGCTGAAGCCAAGCGGCGGCTTTGACCGTAAGGCTGAGCACATGCACCGGCGGGCCCGCGGCCTGCCGCCATCCCAACCCCTGCAAGAGAGCACCCCACGCATCCTGCTCAGGGGGCGGGGCGGAAGGCCCCCTGAGGACTGCCTGAGCCGCTGCGACCCAACTGCCTGTCCGGAGGGAGAGAAGGGCGGTGAGGTCATCTGCCGCCTGCACACCCGACACGCCGAGGGCAGCGTGCAGCTCCCCGTACCCCAGGACCCCACGCAGGACGAGCCGCCTGAATGTGATGGTGCAGCCGAGGGTGATGCGGAGGGAGACGGCGGGGCCACAGCGCTGTACGTCTCCGAGGGTACCGCATACTCCCCAAAGAGCTGTCCAACACCGGAGTGCGACCCCGATGGTGGTTAGGCCCCGCAGCGCGAACAAGACTGGGGAGTGTCGCTCCAGGCAGTGGCCGTCGGCCGTGACAAGGGCGGGGTTCGCCCCAAGTGGCGCCGAGTAGCACCAGGGGCCTGCCATGGCAGCAGGGTTGAGGAAGGTGGGCGGCCCAATGTGTTGAACCGCGCCCAGCAGCCGAAAGCAGGGCGGCCCCCCGGCGGTTCGGATCCCAGCACCTGCACGTTGTTGGAGGGGAGGGGCCACAAGGTGTGTGCAGCCGATGGCAGCGGCGAAAGAGTTGAAGTGACTTGGTAGCCCCGGGGGGTTTGGCGGGGAGGAGGCCGGAGGCATCCGCAACACATCGCATCACAGCGACTGCATGCCGGGCACGGACGTGCGGCACCAGATGGAGAAGGCCAAAGCCCCCATACCGCCGGCGGAAGAGCGCGCATGCGGGGTGGCAGCGTGCTGGGCGGGCGTCATGTCCCGGTAGACGGCCCGCCGCTACGGTGCCAAGCACATGATCGACCGTTGCTTGCGCCGGGTGGCCCTGGAACTCCAGGTGGTATACGACCTTGCTGAGAGCGTAGCCTGACGAGGCAGCCGCCCGCCCGAAGGTAGACAAGCGGAGGCGGGCGACCCCCGCCAAGGCAGGGAACACCCACGTGAAGTCCACGGGCTGCACGGCAGCACCATTGCGGAAGTGCACAACAAGAGTGCTCGCCTGCTGCACGGTAGGAGGCGTGGGCGGTAGAGGTCCCAGCAGTGGCGGGGCGGAGGTGGGGGCGGCCGCGGCGACGGCGGGGACGACGGTGGGGGTGGGGGTGGCGCTGGTGGCGGCAGCACTGACGGCAGCAGTGGGGGCGGTGGTGGGTGGGGGAAGTAGGACGACGAGGAGCTGGGGGTGCAGCAAGGTGGCGAGGCCTGTGACCAGGGCAGCTAGGAGGCGGCGGAGAGCTGCCAGGAGGGGGCTGCGGCGGGAGCGATGGGAGGGAGGGTGGTGCTGGGGGCCCTGCCAACGCAGGGGGCGGAGGAAGGGTCGGGGCAGCCTGGGGTGTAGGGGCTGGCGCAGGGTCGCCGTTGCGCGGGAGCCGGGTGGTATAGCCGGCTGGCCGACGGGCAGGAGCTCGACCTTACCAGATTGAGTCGTTCAATCTGGTAAGGCCCGTCGGGCTTCCGTGACCGGAGGCCCGACGGAAGACCTCCATGACGGTGAGGAAGTGGGAGAGAGCTGCCTGGTCGGCCAGGAACGTGGTGCAGTCGTCCGCATACTTGGACGCCGTGACGTGGAGGGCTGGGGCAGGTTGGGCGCCAGCGGTAAGGCGGCGGATGCAGAGGCTAATCCCGCAACGATTTAGCCAGCAGGCCAGCAGCACCAGACCGACTGCGAGTTAGAGCAGCGGGGCCAGCGGGCAGCCCTGTCTGATCACAGAGGTGATGGGCATATGCCTGGAAAGGTGACCGTTGACGAGTGCCGCAGCTCCGGTAGCCGTGTGCAGTCTCCGCACCCGCTGGAGGAAGCCGGGTCCCACGCCCAGCGCCTCCAAGCCGTCGTAGAGGAAGCCCCGTTCCACCGTATATCATACGCCGTATAGAAGTCAAGGAAGACCGCCAGGCCAGGTCGCTGTTCCGCCCGAAGCAGCTTCGGAAGGAGCCAGATGATATCACCGATGCGGCGGGAGCACAAGAACGCAGTTTGCTGCGAGGCGATGGTGAATCCAAGGACCGGGAGCACACGGCGGGCCAGCTCACGCGCCAGGGTGCGGTAGTCCGTGTCGAATTGAGTGACGGTAGTTGGCTGGGTATGTGGGGTCGCCGGGTTTAGTAGGGAGGAGATGACACCGTCCAGTAACCCATCCGGCACCTCCCCTGTGGAGCCCACCGCAGTGAAAGACTCGGGCGAGCAGCGGGGCGAAGACCTCCGGAAGAGCCTGGTAGAGCTCAACCGGGATACCATCTGCGCCAGGGGCCCGGCCAGGGGCGCGTAGCGTGCAGCGCGGCAAGCACCTTTCCACTGCTGACAGCCATCCTGCCCAGGGGGGGGGCCTCCGGCGGCCAGCGCTTGAAGGCGTGAACCTGCTGGCGGGCTGTGACGGATTCCGGAGACGCCAGGGCGGCCGTGCAGATCCCTTGCCAGGAGGACGCCATGACGTTAGGGGGTCGGCGGTGAGGAGTGGGAGTGCGCAGGGGCGGGCAGCGGCCGGGCGTAGGAGGGCGTTGGGGTCGGGGCAAGGGCGTTCTCCCATATGCAGCTAGGCCAGGCGAGTGCGGCGGGCGCCGGGACCCGCTGTGCACAGCTTGGCCGTAGTAGCTGCTGAGCGGGCGGCCACAACACGGGTGGCCGCACTAATATCCCCCGCCTCCAGCTCAGCGTGGGCGGCGGCGGCGGCTGCACAGGCTGCGACAGCTTCCCTGGGAACGCGTTAGCTTACTTGGTCCGCTACGGCAGCTGTACGGCATGGATGCTAAGGTATACCAAGCAGCAGTAAGCCGCTAGGACTGTCTCACCATTCTGTCGCTTTTTCGAGGGTCCAAAGTTGACGCCATCTTTTCCAGACGGAAATGAAAAGCTAGTATAAAGGCTCAAGACACCCACTCGGGAGTTGTTACATAAATAAGGGCAGGAACGTCACTATGTATCATATGTATAAATATAATGCGTTAATTTATTTGCACATGATATATAACCCACGCAGCGTTCGTTTTTGACGGCCACCTACACTCTCCCAGGTTCTATTTCGCCGTCCCTTCGCATCTCAATCCCACCGGCGACTGCACCGGACACTGTCTAAGAAAAAAACGATATCTCCATTATGTTCAGGTTTAGAAACGCGCCGAACAAGCGAAACACGAAAGCAC